AAGGCCCCCTTCCAGAAACCACAGCAGACACTTCCAATACATCTGCTGCTGCTGAGGCAAATTGCTGGTCCTGCGCTTGGGACACAGCAACCCCACACAGTGCCACAGGCTGGGGGACGAGTGGCTCGAGTGTTGTTCGTCAGAAAGGAACTTGGGAGTGCGGGTGGACAGTGGCTCAATATGAGCCACCAGTGTGCATAGGTGGCCAAGAAGGCCAATGACATCTTGGCCTGTATCAAGAATAGTGTGACCAGCAGGACTAGGGAAGTGATCATCCTCCTGTACTCAGCATTGATGAGGCCACACCTCGAGTACTGTGTTCAGTTTTGGGCCTCTCACTTCAATAAGAACATTGAGGTGATGGAGCGTGTCCACTGCCAGGGGCTGGCTCATGGTGGTCATGGTGGCCTCCCTATAACATGCTGTATCAAACCTGCACCACAAACAAACTCAGTGTTCATCACCATGACACAAGACTTTAGTTCATATATGGTGTATTTCATTGAAGCTAATTTATATGATGACACTTGAAAGCCACAGTCTTGCTCCCTTATTCCACAAGTCATAATGATGAGAACAACTTGTCTGAAGAAGCCCAGAGGGTACCCAGTGACTAAGTATGAAGCCAACAGGAATATCCCAGGGCTCAGAGGTTCAGGGCAAGTTGAGCAAACCGGAGTCACCAGTTGAAAATGAAACATTGCCATGTCTTTGCCCTCCAGAGGGGACGGCCAGGGAGTTTACAAGCTGGTAATTGCCCAATTACAACAGCCTTCCCAAGAAGGGCTGTTCTGGGACAGGCACTGTCACTGCATGATGGAGGCAAGTGACTAAGAACTGGATATAACACTGTGAAAAAAGAAACAGGTATGACTGGAGGGATCTCAGACCTGCCTGGCTGAAAACAGCAAACCCAGGAAAAAGCAGAAATTTCCTACCCTGTAGAAAAATCCATTTTGGGACAGAATAGTTTCAAGCATGCTCAGTGGGTCTCTTTTGAACATCCTTTTCCCCTTCTCCCTCCATTTTACTTTGGAAATGTTTTGCCAATGTTCATTGTCAAAGGGGATGAGAATGAAATCCAGAAAGGGCATCAAGTGAGCAGGTATGGAGAGGGGGATGTGCCACACAAGAATGGGCAAGACTTGCTGTGTCACAAAATTCCCTGGGCATTTGCGGGGCTATCTTCAGAGACCTTCTGCCTTCACTGTAGATGGCACCATTTGCATGGAAGATTTGAGCACAGTGGAGAAATGCCATCACTATCTCTTAGACAGGGAAACCAAGGCACAGTGCTGCTGGTGAACGCCCATAAGGTCAGAAAAGGCTTTCTGTCATCACAAGGCATACTGTAATTCCTATGACCTTTTATCAGTCTCTAGAACACCAGTGTCAAGCCTTTAAACATAAAAGGCACATCATAACCTGACAGTCCCCCTCTAATTATGGAAGGCATTTACAAATAATCAAAGTGATGTAATTCATTAGAAATTCCCTTTTTCAAATATTTGGGAATGCTGATAGAGCTTGAATGTGGGAATGTCTGCATTACTGCTCTGCAAGAGAGACTAAAGCAAGTACTTGCACACAACCTCTCTTGCAAAGGCTTGTTCGCTGAAAACAAATATTTTGATGAAAGGCCAAAGACACAGTTAATTTAAGCGTATGCATCAAACACCAACAGCAGGCACTCACTAGCAAACGGTGTAGCAGGACTTTCCTGCAAAAGCAAGCACCTACAAGTTTTGACAGTGCATCTGTTACAGCCATTTGCTAGAGAGAAGTTCAGCCCTACAGGATCATTCCTTGGGGTTCAGTGTGGGAAGAGAGAGAACTGCTTAGTCAGAAGAAAAGCAGTCATGGTGTGCAAGTGTTTCTGGCAAGATACTGAGCAATTTCTCGCATCCCTTATGGAAACATGTGTGACTACTCTCTTTACTTTTGAATTTTGCAGCCTAATATTTGAATTTAATGCCGTGGGTGGATATGCTATTTTTATGCATCTCGTGAGCAAAAGAAGAAGTTCAGAGATCACTTATTAATCGAAACATAAACTGTTTGTGACACTAGTATTTTCATACATGGGAGATTTTGAGAAGTTCCAGCTAAAATCCCCCTACATACTTTCCTTGTTGTTCTCAGAGGTTTCGGCAGCTCTGTGGGGTTTGAGTTTCTGTCTATGGATGATGCAAAAAAAATGAGAAACACATACTTGTTTCTCCTAAGCAGGCACAACCATAGTAAGTAAATGAGAGTAGGCTTTTAAAAAATTAAACAACAAACAAAAAGCAGCAAAACTGATGGTGTATAAGGTCTTGCTTCCACCCTCTGGAAGTTATGGCTTGGAGGATCCAGACAACCTGTAATTGTACCAGGAGCTTATAGGTGCCATTGTGCAACTGGCAGAAGCCTTTCCTCCTTTTTACAAGATCATTCAGTGTCTGCTATAAGTCATTCCTATGCAAAACTTTGTTCATCTCACAAAAGAAAAACTAATAATTTTTCCTAAGAAGAATAAACAGATTTGTTTGTCTCTTTGTTTAAAAGCATGATTGCTAAATGATAGTGATATGTTTGCTAGTGTTGGGAAAAAAATTAATTTCAGCATAAATATTGCACTGGTCATTGTTATTTTTGTTATGCAAATAGTAATACACACAAGGAGTTCTACTAAATATAGTAATGGATACTTTTTTAATTAGAGGACATTCATAATAACTCTGACTTGATTGAAACTAGAATTTCTACTGCACTTAAATGGTTAAAAAAGTGATGTTCTCAGAAATAAGGACCTAGAAGTACTGTATGGCTTGGGCCCCTATTCCATCAGCACATGCACTGAAGTAGAAGGCAGGCTGGTGAGCTGCCATACAGAAACCCATGGATTGCACTCCCAAATGGAGTGCCTTGATCGATCTTGGCCTATCAAACTGGCCTAATCAAACTGGCTTTGAGCAGAGGCTTGAACTAGACAACCTCCAGAGTTCCCTTCTGTCCTAAATTATGGTATGATTTTATGGCCAAGAAATAAATAGGTGGTTTTCCACATGGGACAGATCTATAGTTATGTGTTCAGATCTCAGCTGGAGTTCTAACCAGGTTGAAAACAGCTTGCTGGACTCCTCCCCTTTCTCTATTCCTTGCAAGTATAGTTTTATAAATAGGAATCAACAAGCAGGCTTCATGTGAGTGAGTAAGCACGAATGATGCCTGAAATTCATCGTTCTGACTGAGATAAATTGTGACAACATCCACAAATCTTCTATGGTGAGAAAGAGTTCAGAACTGATATTTGATGAAGGTTTTGAGGGATACCATGATGCACCCAAACCCCAACACTAGAGGGAAGAAAGTCAGACAAGCACAAACCCTCAACAGGTGAAATCCTACAAATTGGCTATTACAACCTTGCATAAATAGATGCATTTAGACCTTGGATCCACAACTCTACACAATTCAAACAGGAGTAAAGCTGATCCTGCAAGAACAAGAATTTTAACTCCTTCAAAAAGTTCAGTTCTTTCAGAGAGAGGAGGACATTTGGTTTCACAGTTTCACTACCTGCTGCCTTTTACTTGTCCATAATCACCACTTCCTAGTTTGGATGCTGCAGCACTGTTGCTGGTAACGGAATTGAAACACAGATGCTTCTACCTCTTGCACTTTGTTTTTGTCAAGCTCTTCACATCCAGACTGCTGCCTCCACTTTCATGTTTATTTTTCACTTCTGGGACTTCGGGGAGGGGGAGACAAGATTAGATATCAAACTTATCCTCCAAGATAATTGTAAATACAGACAGTCTTTGCTCAGAAATGGAAACTAATGGATTTTGTCACTTTGTTGTTTACAGCCATCTTCAACCCCAAAGTGGAGGCAAAGATTATACCCAGTCCAGACAAAGCTGAGGACTCTGAGAAAGTGGTACAGATGAGCTGCTCAGCAACAGGGAAACCAGCTCCAAAAATAACCTGGCAGCTTCCCAGTATCCTGCAGCACAAACCAAGGGAGTACCATGTCAAGTTCAGCAACCAGACCGTGACTGTCATCAGCAATTTCACCCACACCCACATCAAAATCCTCCAGGAGTACCCCATCACCTGTGTGATCCAGCACCCTTCTCTAAACGTGACCCTGGTCCTGCCCAAGGACAGCCTGTCACAGGGTTAGTATGTAACTCTACTCCTGCTCTGGAGTGGGGAGAAGACTGCAAAATACCTTCTGGGGTAGATCAGAAGACTCCTCAGAGGGCTGGGGGCAGGTGGGGAAGGCACCTGGAAGAGCAGCCAGGGCTGGGCTTGGGAAAGATGGAGGAGGTGGCAGGGAACATCCATACACCCTAGGCAATGGCATACAATGTTTATTGCTCATCAGGTCCCCCCTACATGCCATGACATGTCCCAGCCTCCCTGTCTCTGCAAAGGACTATTCATGACAAGTTTCCCTGTTACTTAGCCAGACACACCAACAAGACATGCCAGCACTGGATAGCTTGGAGAGACTGGGCTTAGCACGCTGGAGCGTGACATCAGACCCCAAGACTATCTCATCTCACACCAGGGAATGGCCAAGGGAGGTTTGAAATGGCTTTTGGGTTGTTTTATTTTCTTCATGCACACTCTGAGTATCTGTTCTTTCCCCACAGGTCCAGACAGCAGCATGACACCAGCCGTTGCCATTGCACTTGGAGTGCTCATTCCCCTGACTTCCCTCCTCCTTCTCACCTGCCTCCTCTGCCACTGCCTCAAGCACCTACCTGACCCAGAGAGAAACCTAGCCTGGCCATGCTGGGTAGGTCTGCCTTTCTCCAGAGTGCTGCAGGGCTCACCCCCACCCATCGCAGGGCTCAGTACTGTGACTTGACTCAGCCCAGCAACCCCAAGTCTGCCTGGATGTTTCCCAGCCTGGACTGCACCTGGGCTGGAGAGGGACACAGGGATTAGCCCTCAGCCAGACAACTGGGTAGTGGCACACTGGGAAGGGGAAACCTGATCCTGCATAGCCAACCCATAGGTGCCTGAGAGCACTGGCAGCTACAAAACACTCATTGTGTCAATGACAAGTCATGCTGTGGTGGAAACATCCCTCTATGCACAAACCAGTTGTACAAGGAGTGGACATTCTTCTGCAACTCCTAAAATAACCTCCCTCAGCATGGTCAGTGCAGGTCACAGAGGCAGCAGCTTTGAGGATGTGTCTCAAACTAAATGGGGTCTTTCAGGAAAACCATGCCTCTGTGAGGAAAGCCCAGGGTGCCATGCTGTGGCAGGGGCACTGCTGGTTGGCCACTGGGCCTATCTTGATGCAGGGGGTGAAGGATGCAAGCTCAAGGCTAACTGAGTGAGGTGGTGTGGTTTCTGAAAATCACGGCCCAGTTTTGTGAAAGCTCCTCCTTGCAGGATATGCCTAGCATGTGCACCCTGACTTTTGATGAGCATTTTGGAGAAAAAGAAGCAGTGGAGGAAAAGCCTTCCATGGGTGCTGTGCTACTAGGTCCAAGCTGAAGCCTGCTAGTGAGATTGCTCCTGTCACGCAGAGAGATGCATGGACCATTTGGCAATACAAGTAGCCAGGATCTTTACTCTCACACTTAAAGCATCCATATAATTTTAAGAAATAAACACAACAACCTCTCTTCTGTCAGGTACTTCCTGCTTGTACTAAGGCCAAGAAGTGTGGGCAGTATGGAGTTGCAGGCAAGTGGGCTCCTGTGGTGTCCCCCAGCCCCAGCATGCCACTGAACACCTGAGAAGCTCCCCACCCTACACATGCAAGAGAAAAACTCTTACAACGGCACCTTAAACTACCAGACAAACCTGCTGTGACTCTCTCCAAGAAAAATACAAAAAAGAGCCAATTTATAATAGATATTTATTTATTTTGTTACAATATAATATTCCATTTTGTAGAAGAAAGCTGTAAAGTATTTATTTGAGACTCAGGCTGACTGTGTCAATCCACTCAATGAAACTCATGCTTTGTGTTTTCTGGGGTTTTGAAGATTATATGTATTCCTTTCTGATAATTCAAGATTGCAAGGTCAAAACTGGGTGAGTGATTGTCTGAAATGGGGCAGCATTTTGTAAGGGTGCTGGCCTGGGAGGTGCTGCTGATGGGCCAAAGGAGACCCCCTCCAGGAGCTGGGGAGCATAAAGATAGCCAGTGCAGGCTGTTTCCTCTCCTGGCTTCCTAGAGGAAGTGCATATCATCTGATTTTTCCTCATCCATGTATTTCAGATGGGCATTCCAGATGAATCAGACTAAGTTGCAGTCAAAAATCAAAGTAACCTAAAATGAAAGCAAGTGGGTGAGTTGAGAAAGAATAAACCCAGTCCTTGCCATGAAATGTTTATTTTAGGCTCCCTAACAGTAACGGCACAGCTGTTGAGTGAGGGGAAAGGGGAACTGGCTGCAGCTGTCACAATAAGGATTTTTTTCTCCTGAGCCCCCTTATTGCCAAAAGAAGAACCAATGTTTTGTCCAAACTTTTCTGTCGTTGCAGCTTCATTTCTTCCTCCTCTGTGAGGGAAGAGTTCAGGGGAGAAGCAGATTTTCCCCTGAGTTCATGGGGGGCATGATAGGGGCAAGAGGGTAGGGCTAAGCCCCTGGCATCCTTCTGAGCAGGCTGTGCAGCCTGAGTCCTTCTCATACTGCACAGCCCACACTTGAAATTTAGAGAGCTTTATATGAGTTTTAAGAGAAGCTTTCTGCTAATGTTTAGACTAAGGGGTCTTTTTAAAATAAATAAATAAGTATCTCGCAGAAACAGGGAGTCTGGACATGGGTAATGAAAAGGATTTTCACAGGGAAGAGAGAAAGACACAAAACTGGCAGGAAATCTTTTCAAACCCAGGAAGATGGCAGCTGATCACCTGGAGTAGGGGAAGCACAGTTTGGAGTCTGGAAAGTATCTGTTAATGTGTGGGATCGTAATTTCTTTTACATTTTAGCCGAACATTGAATTGTGAAAAGCTTTTGTAGGTTTCTGCTTATGAACACAATAGATCCAGAGACTGAGTGAAGGAGAGGGATGTGGTGGCTTACATCCAAAATTCTGTAAAAGGTTTAATTTTTTTCTTTCATGATATTGGAATGAAAACAGCAAATGACATCCAAAGGCAGAAGACTTATGACTGATACATATATTTGCCTTCATGCTGTACAAAGCCACCTGCTAAGATGCAGTGCCATAAAATGCTCTGTGCTAAGTGCTGTGCAGTTTGGCTTCACGCAGCAATGAAATGAAGGTAAGCATACAGACTATGGATAATTAAATGG